CAGGCGTGAGTTAATTAGGAAGTATGACGGCACACTGATTCAAATTCAGGAACGTCGTCTTGAACGTTGGGAAGAACATTTCAAGGCTCAGTTCAACTAGTCACCATCGACACAAGAAGTCCCCCAACTCCGTTCAACTGCAAATACTGCCAGTTGACATCAGTCTTCTATCTGAAATGGAGGTTACCCGGGAAATAAGTTATCTAAACAAGCATAAAGCCTCAGACCCAGACGGGTTGTCCCCATCGTCTTCTGAGGATGGAGGCTGAGCGTTAGTCTTGGAGCTGACAAAACTCCTGGGTTCAGTATGGGAAAGGGAAGAGGTTCCAGATGAATGGAGTGAATCATACCGATTTACAAGAACGGTGACAGACCCTTTCATATGTGGCATCCGGAGAGTTTTCTCCGGGCGTCCAGCAGGGCAGCCGCGGTCGACGACATCTATCGTTTGTGTTTTGGGCTTGTCGTAGAGTCCGACGTTGTTTTTATCGATATTTGCATAGCTTGCTTGATTTGCTTCCAGTGATCATTGAGTCCTTCGGTTGGTGTTTGAACTGACAGGTGATCGGAGAGCTCCGCTTCGAATGCCGATTTGCAGCAATCGCTGACACTGTCTCGTAGGTATCCGTTGTCGGTAGCTTTTTTGCGGTTGTTTGCCATTCGTAAGGAGAACTTGGCTCGTAACAAGGTGTGGTCTTTATCCACAGCTGTTGACCAGTAAGAATGGCAGTCTTGAATCGACCCTCTCCAGCGGTAACTGATGACGATGTGGTCGATCTGGGTCCAGTGCAGTGAAGAGATTAGTGGTTTCCATGTAAGGCGGTGTCGTTTCTTGTGCGAGAAGTTCGTTTTGACAGGAATAATCCGTGGTTCGCACAGAGTTGAAGTAGGCGATCTCCTCGGTCCGTCCGGTTAGCTGGGATTGCATGTGGTCCACCACGAAGCCTCTCCGATTTGTCCGCTTGAGCATTGAAGTCTCCGGCGACTACTACGATGTCCGTTGATCGAACGTTTTGGAGTAGTGGAGAAAGATTCTTGTAGAATTCATCTTTGATTTCAGGTATACTGCAAACGGTCGATGCACACACCGATAAGACGAATAAGCATCGACGCTTCGTTCTGTAGCTGTTAACTCGAACTGAACCGTTGAGACGTACAGCGAACAATCGGCTACTGACTGGAATCCAATCAAGAAGCGAGCGCTCGGCCTTGGCACTCAGCGCGATTCCGACACCAGCAACACCGCGAGCTTCGGATGCCGAATCGTCTGACACACGAAGGGTGAAGCGTGAGGTTGAGGTTGGATCAGGAGAACGCACAGAGATAATGGAAGTGGGGTCTTGTATGCATGTTTCGGAGACACAACATACATACATACATTGAAAGTTCCGAGGGTTTTAGCCAGGGCAGCTTGTTGTCCAATGTGATTGAGCGTGCAGACGTTGAACGGGGCTAAGTTAAAAGGGGATTTTGGCTTCAAAAACCCTATAACTTCTGATTGTCTGGCCTTGTTTGTAAAAGGTTGATTGATATTAGATGGGTGGCGTAAACAGGAGGAATCTGCGACTATTCGGCGTTGAGAAGAAGAACTAGACAGATAGGAAAGACGGTTGTCCAAACGGGTGCCTAAGACTTTAGGGCACGGCATACTTCGCGGCAGCTCACACCGACGAAGGGGCTTTTCTTTGAGAACCCTAACCGGGGCCTTTGACTCGAGTCTGACCCACAAGGCAGTGGGGCGTAAATCCAACGCGGGAGCCTGAACGAAGCACCCGTGTGGGAGCTTCTGGAAACCTATCACGCAAGGCCTTTGAATTTCGATTAACTGTGTTGTTCGCTGGTGCGTTGATTATCGGTCCGCTTTTCGGGATCAGCCCTGAGCCTCATACACCCTCATTTCACGAAACCCGGCGAGCCTCTTTCTCTAGAATGGCTTAACCACGCCTGTTGTCGCGCTGTTCGCAAAAAGGAATCAGCTTTTCGTCTCTGGCGTCGTTCACCTCCCCTCAGCTCCTGCCGATGGTTCTTTTTAGCACGCAACAACTGTAGAACCATCATACAGAAGGAGCACTTTATTGAGCGCAAAGCAGCACAGTCAGCTCGTTCTGGAATCCAGTTCTGGTCACTTGCTAAGGCAGTTCACTGTAACTTCTGTTCCACTAACTTCCCACCCATTGTTAAACCATCTGGTGACTTGATGTTCGACCGGCTTGAAAAATCCTAAGTGTTCGCCTCCCACTTTTCTTCCAGCTCTACCTTACTCGAATAATCCGTTCAACCCTAGACATGCCCTACAGCGAGCCATCTTTTCACACCACTTATTTCCACTAGAAAGATGCGTCAAATCCTCCTAGCACTGGACTCTTACAAGCCACCTGGACCCGACGGGATTCCTAGGATCGTCCTCCAAATGTGCGCCTCCTCTCCTATGAGTTTATTCTCTCTATCCCTCGATCCCGAAGTATTCCCAACCTCATGGAATATATCCGAAATATTTCCCATCCCCAAATTCGGATCTTCTGGCGCTCATTTCGCATTCATGGTCCGCGGCACTCAACAATCACAGAGAAACCTATAGTGTCAATATATATATATATATATATATATATATATATATATCGAAAGTTTTCAATCATGTCTAGCACCGCGGTCTGCTGTCTCAACTACCCAAATTTGGTTTTCTTTCGGAAATTGTCCTGGATAACAATCTATCTCAAGGACCGTGGCATCTCCGATCGAGTAGATGGGACCATGTCTTGTTCGGTTCCTGTGAATGTCGGCGTTCCCCAAGGTTCTGTACTTCCCTTTTCTTTTTCTGATGTTTATTAGTGACCTTTCTTCAACTTCGAATCCTATACAGGCCTTTGCCGATGATGCTAAACTGCCCTCTCCAATGTCCTATTCCTCTTCACGCACCGCGAACTCCAGCAATAGTGACAACCACTCCTTCCTCTGTTTCTCCCAACATTCTGATCTGGTCCTTATGTCTGCTTCAGACTGTCGCAACCATATTCGCTTCAACGCCCGTAAAACATCCCTTACGNNNNAATTTCCCTTAAACACGCATCTTTTCCCCCTTCAATAAATCTAACTCGAAAATTCGCCATTCCATAGATTCATGTAACCTATTGGGACTTTATTATCTTCCTCTCTTTTATGGTCACCATGTATTTATTTACTTATCTCCCGTGCTGCGGGCCAAAT